CCCCACCATAATCCCCCCTCCACCAACCTTTACAATTGGCACAATGCAGTCAGGCAAGTTCCGTTATCCTGGCAACCGCCAAACCCAGACACGTTCATCGGATTGCCAGATAGAGAAGCATGATTCGTCACTCCAGAGAACACGTCTCTACTTCTCTAGAGTCCAGTGGCCGTGTGCGTTACACCACTGAATCCGGCGCTTTGCATTGCACTTGGTGATGTAAGGCTTTGGATGCAGCTGCTCGGCCATCAAAACCCATTCCATGAAGCTCTCTATGCACTGTTGTTGTGCCAATCTGAAGGCCACACAACGTTTGGAGGTCTGTAGCTATTGACTCTGCAGACACTTGGCGACTTCTGCGCACTTTGCACTTCAGCATGCGCTGACCCCGCTCTGTTATTTTACGTGGCCTACCACTCCGTGGCTGAGTTGCTGTTGTTCCCAGTTGCTTCCACTTTGTTATAATACCACTAACAGTTGACCGTGGAATATTTAGTAGCAAGGAAATTTCCCGGGTGGACTGATTGCACAGGTGGCAACCTATTACGGTACCACGCTTGAATTCACTGAGCTCCTGAGAGCGACCCATTCTTTCACAAATGTTTGTAGAAGCAGTCTGCATGCCTAGGTGCTTGATTTTATACACCTGTGGCCATGGAGGTGATTGGAACACCTGAATTAAATGATTTGGAGGGGTGTCCCAATACATTTGGCAATATAATGTATATATGTTTCACATGCCAAAGGATTGTTATTTCTGTTCATCTAGTCCTGAGATATCCAAAGCTCTACCAGACAGCAGAGACAACTTGGTGACCTGTAGTTTACCAGTAGCTACGTCACCTCCTTGACGCTACTTTGTGATTGGACACTGAGGGAGAAGCAGCGGCACAGTGGTGAGGCATCCCTCTGCTCATGTTACTCTCGTCTTGACAGCTCATGTGCACTGGAGTTCACCTGATTGGCCCCTAGTGCTGACCCTTACTCTTCCAGTTCTGCCTTACAGGCGGATCACAAGAGGCCGCCACAAAGTTAACTTCAAGTACTTACACAGAAAGAACACATAACTGCATTTTTTTGGTGTTTTATTATCTGCCTGGAGTTCATCTTTAACTGACATGTAATGTATATTATTGATACATGTATATAGCATGTTTTGTGTTATCATAGTGCTATCAGCTGGGCTAGGAGGAAAATAGAATGTTAGCTTTTGATGCATCAGAGGAAGCAGAGGCATATCTCTTTGTTACCATTGCTCACAGTTAGGGAACCATTATTGTATGGTCACCATTCATAATCAATATCAAACTAGATGAGGTGATTGCAAAATCCAGTCTGTCCTGAATATATATTGCTTTGATTATCTGGGAAGAGTAATTTGATCCACTATCACTGCAACAGATCCTGGCTACCTATCGTCTCCCCTGCCCCTTATAAAAACCTCCTTTGGTTACATGGGAACATCTTTAACACATCAGCTCTTGTTACTCCCTGGGTGCCTGTAGAATGGGCATTAATGGAGATTCCTTGAGTTTTGTAGCTGCCAGATAGTTAGGGGCAGGGTCAGGGTTAACTTGTTTGTTGCCAGCAGTCTTGGAATGATCTTCCAGCTCTATAGAGTCAGCATTATCAAAGGTGTATTAACCATCCTTTTACTGAATAGTAAGCACAGAGCTCGGATTCACCACTTCTGTAATTTTAATCTGAATTTTAAAGAATTTTAGTTACATTTTAATTAAATATGAAACAACTCTGAAGTACAGGGTTAAAGTAAGAAGTAAATAAAATGGAAACAGTATACCCTGTCTGTAAGGTTCAAGAATATTAGCAATCATAGGGAATTTTCTATGGCCACCAGGCAAGCTATCAGTCTGGCAGTAGCCAAAAGTGCTTGTGTATCTAAGAGTGTTTACAGTTCTTGGGGAATTCATATACATATTTAAAAGATTAGTGACAGTTCTTATGTGGTCATCACAACTGACAGACCCTGATGACCACATACCAGCAGGAGGCCATGAGCTGTGGGGCCTTTACACAGTTCATGAATCTCCAGCCAAAATAAACTAAAAATTATGACAGTGCAATTCCAGTTTTGCTGCACTATTCACATTCAATTCAGAGATTTTTTCCTCCAGTACTTTTTCTGCCACTAGATGCCCTCAGTCTGATGGCCAACATCAATAAATCCATGTCCTCTGAGCCCAGGAAGTCCAGGACACACCCCATCCTGTGACTGGACAGTGAAAGGAGCACAGTGATGAACTCATCTCTCTGTCACTCTGCTTTCTCTTCTTATCAGCATTTTCCTTGTCAGCACATTAACTAATTAGTCATTTGTGCTGCTTCTACTTCTACTTTGAAGCAGTGGTTACTCTGTAGAGGTCTAACACATCCCATACTGAGACCCCATAGCTCTGGAATCAACTTTAATGCTTCCTGCTGATTGAAGAGCTCTGGCTTTGTCCGAACAGGCAGTGTGTCCAACCTCGGCAGAGATACCACTGCTTCTACACAGAGAGCAAGGGTCCTGCACTGCAGCATGCAGTTCCTACTTCAATCATGCCCATGATGTTGGCATACAGGCTAGTGTCCATATAGTAAAGAGCCATACACTTGTCCCATAGGCTTAGTTTTCTGGGATAGTATATTTTGAGAAGATTAACTCATTTTTCATTAAAAAAAAATAACCAGTAGAACAGTTCAGGTAAAATTAGGTTACACTATTTTATATGGTCACTAAATGCCTTGCTGTATCCTAATACCCTTATACTTAACAGAAGGGCTACATTACTCACCATGTGTATATATATATGACACATATCTAATTTGCTGTCAGTGTCTCATGCTCCAAGGAACATCAATGATCCGTGCCTGTTTAAATGGTCACTTAACTTTGAGGTGAAATTTGTGTTATTGACCATAGCGTTGAGCAAAGTGATCTTTTAACATAAATTCACTGACTTTCTGTAACATGGGTTTGTTCTGAATTCTTTTTTTTCATCTCTATACGTATAAAACAAAAAGTTGCACTGCACACAAGATAGGCCAGCATGGAAACAATTATTATGTGGTGAAAAATTTATCTAGGATACATGACTGCTTGAGCTGGAAAATCCAATCCGAAAGCCAGTATGCTGAACAGAGATCATAAAAAGGTTTGTTCAAAGGCTGAAACTACATAAAAATGTGGACTGCACCTTTATACTCGTGTAAATCCCTCTACGACCATTAAACCCGAAACATGATGGTCCCTGCTGCTAAATTGGAGTCCGGAGGAGTCAGAGGCAACAGGATCTGAGGAATAAAATTCCAGACATAGCAATGTGAAACCTGCCACTAACTGAGCGCATCCTGTCCCCTTCCACACTCTGCAGGGAATGCCAGGACCGGCGGGTGCTGAGGGCCATTGAGAGTTAGTAGCCATCACTGTTCTCTATTGCTGTATTGTGTGTACAGTGTTATTCCTTTAGGTGTGACAAGCAATAAACACAATACATGTGTAGTACAGCTGGGACCCCCATACCCAGCATAGAACACTGGCATCTTTCATGTGTGAAGCATACCCTGACAATATAGATTAAATAGAAGGGGATGCATATGCATGTCTATCTCTATACCTATCATAAACCACAAGAAACATGATCTCTAATCTACTGTAAATCATAGTGAAAGGGTTTCATTATTGGAATAAATGGTGGTACATTATTATTCAGACATACAATGCAGGCTTTACGCTCACTACATCATATTATATACAAACCACATAAATATAATCCATCTATTTAATGCTCCATTGCTTCTGTTTGCCCTTGTGGTTTCTAACCAAATAGCTCTATCGTTCAGATTTTGTGGGGCTCTGTCATAAATAGTGGCTGTAGGCATGGGGTAGGCAACTTCGGCACTCCAGTTGTGCTTAAACAACAAATCCCATGGTGCCTCTGTCTCTGCAAGTCATGCCTGAGGCAGTCAAAGTCTTGCAATAGCCGGAGTGCCGAGGTTGCCTATCCCTGCTGTAAGTTATTCAGTGTGCAAAAAATGGACATGTAAAAGTTGAACTTCAGGCACAAACCCAGTTACTACTTTATAAAGGCAGAAGTGAAATCATCACTGTGCTTTACATAGCCTGTGCAGAGAGGAGAGCTGTGGCTGGGACCCAGCAGACCCCACCCACTACAGGCTGCCTGCAGAAAACTACTGTAGAGGGCGGAGACAAGACCAGTCACCCTGTGCAAGGAGAGAGAGAAGCAGTGACCAGTCTTTATTACAGGAAGCTCCTGCACAGAGGCAAAGATTTACACTGGATTATGGCACAGATCTGAAACAAATACACAAAGCTCACCAATATTCAAGTAGGAATACACATGACTCTTGTATTTATACACAATATTTTCTTGTCTAGGATTTCAGCTTTAAATGTCACCTCAAAGGCCAGCTTACCTTAAAGTGGAACTCTAGGCAAAACTTTTACTGTCAGGTTGTTTGTATTGCTCTATGTGGTCTCACTCCTTATCCTGGAGTGTGCCTTTAGAGAGTCTTCCCATCACCTTCTGTGCTGGTAACAGCAAAAACATTTTAGCTTTCCCTTCACTTCGTGTCCCGGTGACAGTTATCAGTGGGAAAAGAAATGGGAGAAATGTACCCAACAGGGACATGGACAGCAATCAAACATGGAAAAGTGAACTTTTACAGCATTTCAAATATATATAAAATAGAAGGTAAGAGTATATTGCTATATGACTACGTGTATGAATTTTTTAAGTAGACAGGGCTGACACCACACGCTTTGTAATTCAGAGCCAAAAATACACCATGTTGGCATGTCAAAAAGGAAGGTAGGAGCACATGTTCCTGAACACAATTATTTTTCTGTACTTGTAGTGCGTTTAAAGGGATCAAACATAAGGGTACATTTGCATGTATTGCAGAGACGTACAAAATGTATATATTATTTATTTCTCCTTGACAAATGCCTCTTAACAGTACATGCTTCTTATGTTTAGATTGCAGATCCAAAGGCACAAGTCTGATCCGTCCAGTTATAAGAGTCTAGGGGACTGCTTCAAGAAGATCTATCGTAGTGAAGGGTAAGTGATTGTGAAATGAGTGCCACAAATCATTGTATGCACAGAATGTTAATCCCCATTCTCTGTCTTTCTCTCTTTCTCCTTGACACAAAGTAGCACAAATGTTGATTTAACTGTGTTAGTGCACATTTAGGGCTCATTCACATGGGCGTACAGATCCGCAAAGCCATGCAGGAAGTATGTTCCGTGGAGCCGCCTATTGAAATCGATGACAGACTGAGGCTGAGGCTCTTCACATACATCCCAGTGTTTACAACCGTATAGGGATGGATGTACTGGATGCAGTCTGTCTGCTTCCAGAGTATTACATTGGCTCTAAAGTCTAGACATATGTCGTTTGTCTTTTGGATTGAATGACTCTCGGTGTCATTTAACTTGTATACCTGAAGATATCTTGTGGCAAAAAGAGATTATTGTGAGGGACAACACTGGAGATGACGTGAGCATTTCAGCCAGAGCTGCTTTTATTTTAACAATTTAATCAAATATTCCAAAGTGTCTTTAATTGTTCACAATGCTATCGCATATGTGACGGAACAGTGACTGCTGCTGAATGCATTGGTGGAATTCTAATTCCAAAGCAGGTTTTACACTAGACCTAATATAGATCCTTTTGGTTATAGTTACCTTTGAGTCCATTCAAGTCACAATTCCATTCGTCTAAGCCCTGATGTAAGGGGAGATTTTAGATCCCAAAACACATTGACTGTTATTATCTGACGGTACGTTTGTCAGTACAAAGCCCTCTGAGTGAACTATAAATCCCCTTCATCATCTAATTAGCAGATAGCTGAACTAGGAGCTGCATCATTTTTCTGTATGTGCAGTATATCAATGTGCCAATCGCAAGACTGACTGAACATAATTACAAATCTGTTGGTAGGTAAAACAGTACAGTATTTCAAATATTTATTTAGTGATTTGTCTGGAGTACTGCCTTAACATGCCCCTTCATATTAGAAGCTTGGAAGGTTTTTGTAGCAGACTCGTTCACACCAGTGGACGTGCATTATTATCTATATACTGTGTGCGCGCTGGTGTCAGTTGTGTAGCAAAAGTGCAGTGCATTGTTACAATGCCTCGTAGCGTTTCCTTTTTTCTTTTCTTTTAACTTCATTGAAACATTACAAAATGTCACTTCATTCAACTCTATGCCCCACAGGCATCACCACTCACATTGACATGAGTTTTTGCGCACTGTGTAAAAATGCAGACATGCTGCAATTTTATCCACAGCACACCAATGCACATGTATGGAGTGAACAAGGCACATAGAGAACAATTGTTTTCTATGTGCCCATACATTGATCCTGCATTGATCAATGCATTCAAATCAGTGTGAAGTAGCCCTTATACTGTATCATTGTGTGGGAAGTGCTTTGTAATATGTTACATGTAAATAAATAATGTAAATAATATATCATTTCTTAATTATCAGACATGGTTATTATTGTTCAAGATTAGGGTACATAATTAACCATTGCCAAACTCAACTCTGATAAGTGGGTTTGAATTGTAACATCACTGCATACATTTGGTTAGCAGCCGTCACATACAAAGCCGTTTTCATAATTTTGCCAGGAATGTGCAACTTCTAGCTGCCTAGAAAACACACTGTACCTACAACTGGGAAACAATTAGTCTTGTCGATTTGTGACGGAGCGTAATGCCAAGTTAGTATAAATTAGAAGGGATCCATTACCTAAAGGGAGGACGGAGATTGGTGACTGCGCTAAATACTTTCATGCTTCGTCTCAAACAAATAGCGATGTATATCTCTAGCACATAAAGGCACACTAATTCTCTACCAACAAAAGCTTTTCATCCCAATCTAAACTAATACCTATTGAAAGGTGTCAAATAACTGAATTCTAGAAACCCTGAAAACAAAGTATGGATAACCAACAGCAAAGTCAGGGGAGGGCTCACACAATTAGGAAAAAGGCATTTATCTCCCCCACCACTTCCAGGACATTAATAGACTCTAGACTGGTAAATAAAGGACAGCACTGAACTAGACTTCTGCAAATTCCTCATTCAGCTTCGTATGATCACAACCCAGTATTTCATGAGGCATAATGATGAAGACATTTCATATCTTCACCAGGCCACTTTTTGTTGGAAATGCAACAGCATATACTGTTATGTCTTTTGAGCTGTAGATGGTGCTGTAGTGCAATGTTAGTCTCTATATGCATGCTTATCTAAGATACACATGAAGCTGTTTTTTTCTATCTATATGTTTACAGCACAGTGCTGTATACATACATGTAATGTTCTTCTAAGCAATAAAACTTAATTCAGCATTCCTCAAGATATCAGTGCTTCATCTAAACACATAATTAGTGCTGCAACAACTAATCGGCTTAATCGATGATAATCGATAATGAGAGATTAGTTGATTGTTCAATTAGTTGTTTCACGGGCTCTGTGTCCTCTCTGATCTCTGCTGCTCCCAGTAGTGATGGCAAGGGACAAAGACCCGTGCAGCCGATGCTTCATCGGTGAACTCACTCTCCAGGCCCCCCCGCTGCTGGTGCCCAGCAGAAATGAGAGACCGCTCTGCCTGTGCAATCCCCCATTGCCTCCTCTTCTGCCCCGAAGCCTCCGCTACTGCTCTCTGTGTCCCCGCTGGTCATCACCGCTGCTCCTCCCCGTGTCCCCACTGCTCCTCCGTGTCCACGCTGCTCGTTCCTGCTGCTCTTCCCCGTGTCCACGCTGCTCCTCCCCGTGACCCCGCTGTTCCTCCCCATGTCTCTGCTGCTCCGCCATGCCCCCTGTTATGGCTTGCTCCCATTTAGCGGCTGGGAGCAATAGCCAGCCTGCTGGCCTTTGGGGAAAAAAGTCATTTTTGGTTTCGGCCTGACAAATTCTATTGTAGGATTTGCAGTGCCATTCATTTGGGTGGCACCCCAAACGCGCCTCCTGTCCGCAGTGTTAATGCCTGCACTAAAATGTGGGGTGCGATTGCAAAAAATGTGCGTGCAGTTTTATTCTGAAGTAAACTTTATGTTTGTAACACTGTATTTGTGTATTTTATTTTAAATAAAAGATGGTATTTGGTTTTATCCGATTAATCGAAAAAATTATCGACTAACTCAATCGATTAAGAAAATAATTGTTAGTTGAAGCCCTACGCTTAACCATTAGGTTATGGGCCCAGGCACTATACAGAACACTGCACGTCAACAAGAGCCGCATCCAAGCTACTGAAAGATGGCAAGCAGTTCAGATATGCTCACCAATATCAACTACCAGCTATTGAAGTTCAAGCTCGAAACTTGCTCGAAACTAGTAGGATATGCAGATGCTGATTGGGCCGGAGACTGCACAGACCGCAAATCCACAAGTGGTTACAACTTCTAACACGGGGAAGAAACCATAAGTTAGTCTAGCTGAAAGCAAACAACTGTTGCACTTTCCTCAACTGAAGCTGAATACATAGCAGCAGCACACGCTTGTCAAGAAGCAATATGGATTCGCCAGCTTTTAATGGACATGGGTATAGACATGCCAAACCCCATCCCAATTTTTGAAGACAACCAGGGATGTATAAAGCTGTCACAATCAGAAAGGGTCAACCCTAGAAACAAGCATATTGACTTGAAGTATCATCTGCTTAAGGACACTCAACAGCAAGCTATTATCAACATTCAATAGTTACCGTGTTTCCCCGAAAATAAGACAGTGTCTTATTTATTTTAGAAGAAATGACTGCAGACGCACTCACCAAGCCATTGCCATAGGAACGTCACAGTTTCTTTTGAGAGAAGCTAAACGTCATATAAGTAAGGCATATGCTGTTGAGAAGGGGATGTTGGAAATGCAACAGCATATACTGTTAAGTCTTTTGAGCTGTAGATGGCGCTGTAGTGCAATGTTAGTCTCTCTACGCATACTTATCTATGATACATCGGAAGCTGTTTTCTCTATCTATATGTTACCTGCACAGTGCTGTATACATACATGTAATGTTCTTCTAGGCAAGTAAAACTTAATTTACCATTCCTCAAATTCTCAGTGCTTCATCTATACACATAACCAACACCTTTCAGTTGGGAAGTCACTTTATCCAGGTCATGCTATATAGCCAGTAGTAGTTAATCACATTCAACTGGACTTGTTCTGAAATGTTGAAGGCATTTCATATCTTCTCCAAGCTACTTCTTCAGTTTGGAAGCCACTTTCTCCAGGTCATGCTATAGCCAGTAGTAGTTAATCACATGCAACTGGACAGGTTCTGTAATGTTAAAGACATTTCATAGCTTCCAATTTGGAACTGTAGAAGTGGTTAGGAGCAACTATGAAATGCCTTTAACATTTCAGAACACATCCAGTTGAATGCGATAAACTACTACAAGGTATACCATGACCTGGAGAAAGTGGCTTCCAAACTGGAACTGAAGAAGTGGCATGGAGGAGATATGAAATATCTTTAACATTACAGAAGACATCCAGTTGAATGTGACTAACTACCACCCAGCTAAAAAAAGCACATTTATTAAAGCGTATCTAAAGGCAAAAGCATAAATGTAATATATTGCACCTTACCAATTTTTCGATTTGATGGCTGCAAATCACAACAGGAGAGAATAGTAGGCAGCCAATGTGTTTTGGGGGCTCAGCAATCCCCCTATATTAAGGCTTTAAAAATCAACTAGATATCAGTGGAAATCAGAGCAAAGCTCTTTTTAGGGTTTTTCCCCCTTTTTTTCAGCCACGGATCCAGCCAATAAGTTTGTTATTTTTCAACAGACTAAGCTGTTCAGCAAAAGTGGCAGATAGAGGGTTGAGACAAACCATTTAAGAAGAGCAGGGGTGTTTACAATTGTCAGCTTTTATTCATTTATGTAAATACCTTACCCAAATAGGAAAAAATTTGGCCCTATGTCAAGTTTTTGTTGTTGTCTGTGTCTCCACTGGGGAGACTTATCCTTGTCACCAGAACAAAAGGTGAGGGTATGTTTTCCAATAACTTTTTAAGGCTAGCCATACTTACT